CCCAGAACCACATGTCAGCCCCCTGGGGCCATCAGCCCCTGCCTCAGCGATGCCGCAGCAGGGCTGGTCTCCAGCTCCCCACAGCCCTGCCTGGCCACGGGCCCTGCCGAGCTAGGCCCACGTCCCATCCCTGCCACCGTGGCCCTGCCTGGCAATTGCGGCACCTGATCTTAGCCCTGGCCTGCAGATTGAGTTCCCGGCCTGACCCCAGGCCTGCCTCATCGCCATGATGTTTCCTGGGCTCTTGGTTGGACCTGGCCATGATCTGCAGGTCTGTTGTGTTCACCTCCTTGGGTGTGTGGGACAGCCCTGGGCAGCGAGGGCCCGGCCCTGGGAGCCCCGCAGCTCCCAGCTCTCACCCTGCCAGATGACGTGCAAGGTCGTAACAGCTTGTGAGCACTTCAAGTTCCCATGACATTTTTTCCACCAAAAAAGGAGCATTATCTTCTGCGACCTAGTTAGATTTCAGTCTGAGTGATTACATTTGGGCTCCCCAAATTACTTGACAGACTTCTGTTGTTGAAATTCATCTGTATGGAATCCACTTGGACAGGAATGAGGATTTCTTTTTCTTTTTTTAGGCCTTTTTTTCAGTTCTGGGGTTTTTTGTTTGTTTGTTTTGTTTGTTTTAAGTATAATTTTGGTTTTCAGAAAATCAAGGCTGGTTTTGTTTGTGGCCATGTGTCTGCTAGGGGGTATGGGAGGGAAAGAGGTGTGCTGTGTAATGCCTACAGGGAAGTTTTATCTGGTTTGTGGATACAAAGCTTTGGCACTTTTTCTTTAAGGATATTTGAATTTTTGCGAGAAGGTGGAAGCGTTTGATCTATATTCCCCTTTAGTTTTGAACCAGCATACGTGTTTTCCACACTTGCTCCTTGCCAGGTGTCTCGTGCCTCTCCAGCTGGTGACACTTGTCTCTGGAAGCTCTGCTCAGTGGGAGCAGGTGGCAATAGCCGACTCTTGCAAATGTAGCTAGGGGGAATATGTCATGTGCCCTGAACTGCTGTCGTTGGTGACTTCAGGTAAACTTTTTGTGAAGGGAGGATATTTTTTCCTTCCTCTTGCACTGTTATCTTTCTGGAAATTTCAGGAAGAAAGCTATATTGTAATCTGGGAGGCAGGGGAAAGAGACCACAGGGAAGAACAGGAGACTAAGGAAAAACTAAAAGGGAGAAGAAAGGAAAGAGGCAAAGAATGGAGATTAATACAAGAGAAAGGTTAGAAAGCAGGAGAAAGAACATTAAGAACTCTTGAATATTTTTCTCTCTGTATTCTAAGAATATGCCTGTTGCCATCTCCCCAGGAGGTTTATACAGAGTCTTGCGGGGAAGCAGCAGTGAATTGCTCCTTTGGATGCTAAGTGTAAAATTAAAGCTGGCAGGGTCTCAGAGCACAAGACTGGGAAGCTAATCGCTCCTAATAATATATTGATTTTCACAGATCTCTGGCATTATGTCAGGGCGGTTTTGAATCAGCACCTGGTTTCTTCCTTTTCCCATCTCCAAGCTAATGGCAATGAAGCTTCTGGCTTTGGGATCGCAAATAAATGCCGCTCTGGATCTTTTTGTCTGTACAAATCTGTGGGTCTCTGAAACATGGTTCCAACCCCTGCTCCTATGCATGTCTCTGTGAGACATCCAAGTATAATAGCTACCCTAAAAGTAGAAGGGTGGAAGGAATGTGCATGTATTTTAAACTTGGATAACTGTGCTGCTGCCTGTATTTATGGTGCTGAACAGAAGCATTACAGTCCCATTGCTGCAGATGGCCGAGGACAATCGAATGTATGCCTGTATTCAGGCAGAAGTCACCAGCACAGGTGCCTAGGAGGCTGAGGTCACCTAGTTGTTGCCAGGTTACATTCAACCCTGAGCAGATTTGCTGTATGTGTTGCTCAGCTGTAACATGCCTTCCTCAAGTTTTGGGGACTGACTGTCAGGAAAAGGAGATAGGTTTTATTCATACGACAGCTATTAGGCAATACCCTTCTCTGAAGGGGTATTTTTGTAGCTGGAGGGAATGGTCTGCTTGCAAGGACATGTGCTGAAAAAGCTCCCAGATACTCCAGATGGTGAAGACTTGCAAAGTGAGAATGAAATCTCTTTATTTTTAAAAGATGTCAAGTGCATAGGTGGTCTGAGCTGGGCCAGGCTCAGGTCAGCACAGGACACACGAAAGAACAGAAACTCATCATCTCCTATGGTTGTGCGGAGGCTGTTTCAACTATTTCAGGCTATTTAATTTTATCTGCTTATTGTTACAAGGATTCATTGCTCCCTGTTTGTAGCAGACTGGCCAGACAAGGGACAGTAATACCTGATTTAGGCTGCTGTGGCAGTTGAAACACTGTCTAGACTTTTGTGCCATCTTCAGCAATTCTGGGTGTTCTTCAGGTCCTTCTTACATAACTACAATAATAATGGTTGGGATTTCTTGTCTAAGGACAGTAATTTTCTGGCAATGGGATCAGTGGAGCTGAAGGACATGAATTCTTTCTGAAGGGAAGAGACTCATTATTACCACGCTTTCAGTTTGTTGTCTTCTAGTGTCTGCAGAAAAACTCATGTTTCCAAAGCACCTAACGCATGGCACTGTGGAGAAGGAAGCAGCAGAGCTGGGGCACTTGTGTCAGCTACTCCCACTCATAGTCCTGATATCCTCCAACCCCCTTCTCACAGCTATTGAAGCACTAGGGCAGGCAACTGTTTCATGCAAGGCACATCTGAGCTGAAGGCGTCAAAAGAGCCATTTCATGCTTGACTGCATTTTCTAATACAATCCGCAGAGAGAGAGAGAGGAAAGAGAGTAAGAAGGGTTTGTGTGTACATACGCATTGCCTTTGAGTGTATGTATAATATACAGTACATTTAGTTCCAGCTTGCAGCTGTGGGTGGCAAGTAAGAGGTGCAGACGTGAGGGGAAAGAGAACTGTGCTTTGAAGAGAAGAAACCATTCCCACAACTTGAAAAAGAAGGTTTCTTTCCTTCTCTGTTTCTTGGCCAAGTGAAGATGTGAGTCCCCAGGGCAGCACTGACAGCTTGTACCCAGAAGATATATGTATGGCTGAGTGGGTGTTGTCTGTAGAGAGCTTTGTGTGTACAGACCATGACAGTGTGTGGGGAGTGTAGCTAAGAAAACTGGTGAATAGGGATGCTGTTCACAGCCATCTTATTTTAATGGTGCTCCCAGGAAAGTTTTCTTCTTAATGCGTTTGTATGTCCCATGACCAGAGAGGTGCTGCATACCAGCTATTAGCGCGGTGGGTCGCTGCACCAGCACAACCACAGTGATCCTCACCAAATGTTTTGTAACCATATACAGGTGTCCTCTGTCACTTTATCAGCTTGATACTTATATCCTTATTTATCACCTCATTTGCATATTTATTACACACTGCAGTTCTGTTACTGGCTATTGTGGAGCCAGCCATGGGTCCTTTCCAGCATGGACATATGGCTGTTTCTCAGTTTCCCCTCCATCTACCCTACTCTAGTATCTAACATTTAGGCATTGAGAGGACGTAAGGATTGGCTCTGCCAAGCTTGCTGTTTCCCTCTAGAAGTTCCAATCCTGTCAGCATGAGTGGCCTGGCTGGGAAATACAGGACAAAGGGGTGAAACATAAGGAGAACATCTAGATTCCAAATACATGTTGTTGCAGTTGGTTAAATTAGATGGGGTGTTAGCTTTCTGGGGTGTGTGCAGTGCCTGGTGAGAATCCCAACCATTTGAGAAAACTGGCTAAACTGGATGAGGCACTGGTAAGAGTGCTTTACGGGGCCATCCTTCCACGTGCCTAGGGAGCTGAACTGGTCTTTTTTTTAACCTCTGGGATTTTTATATGCGGTTTTGTGGTAGAAGTCCTACATGGAGCAATCTCTACAGCTCTGCCTTTGGTAGGGGTGGGCTGTGGGGAGAAGGGATGCTCTGATTCATACATTAATATATTTATGTAGATTTGTAAATTTTGCAGATAAAAATGCTTTGGAGCATATTCCTGGACTGAAACAATGATTGCCGTGCTGTAGTGGTTGCTGCAGTTCGATCACAAGACTTTAATTCTACCCCCTTAGAGAAGAATATCAGTTTCTGCAGGCAAGACCCTGAACAAATAGAGAATGTTAAGTACTATAACTCCTTTCCTCAGCTGAACTTCCCATTTTCTTTGACATCCTCAGAGATGATAGGAAAATATAATTTATTTCCTTGCTGTTTTTTTCTTTTTCCTCCTCCTGGCTTTCATTGTGCCTCCATCTCCTGACTTTTAGTGTGTTTGAATGGCACTTAAACTTGCAATGGAGTTTGGTTTGTTCCTTTCTTCATTTGCATTGCAGTGCCATCGGTTGTGTCAGCAGAGCTCTACTAACATTAGTTGTTAGTAAGGAGGGGAAAAATATAAAATCACAAAACAACACAAATCTGACGTAGAGAAGACCTGTTAGGAAACTTGCTTCACACAGTTGTTTTTCTTTCAAGTGCTAGCAATGGAATGAAATTCCTCTCTAAATAAGCAACAGCTCTTAAGAGTACTGGCAATAAGAACTCTGAGCCTTCAAAGGCAAGACTAAATGGTCTAGTAGAAGTGTTGTAGACATTATTTAAAGTAGTCATTACAGCTAGTGCTAGGGAAGGCTGGACTAATGGAAGAGATTGCATTTTCTGGAAGGTGTGAAAAATGGAGGCTTTGCCAGCTCATTATTACAAAAGCGCCCTGTGCTAACACACTTGTTCTTGGGGATTGTGTCTCCATGAGCACTGCTGCCTCCAGTTGTGGTGAATACCATATCTTTGTGTTTGCTGCTCATGCTTGCCACATAGGGTTGCTGGATGCAGTTAAACAATTGCTGTGGTTTTCCCCAGTTACATATCTTTCTGTGGCGAGTGGTATGGTTTCTGTAAACTCAGTGGTCTATCATAGATGTCAGGGTTCTTCAGGAGTAAAGATCATGCAGAGGTGTAACTTCTTTTCAATTTTTGCAATTGTTTGCTGATTCCTTGCAGAGGCCTCTATCTTGAGCTATGATGGCAGCATGTACATGAAGATCATCATGCCTATGGTCATGCATACAGAAGCAGAAGACGTGTCCTTCCGTTTCATGTCCCAGCGCGCTTATGGGCTGTTGATGGCAACCACCTCACGGGACTCTGCAGACACTCTGCGCCTGGAGCTGGACGGAGGCCGTGTCAAACTTATGGTCAATTTAGGTATCGTATAAAAACCTTCCATTTCCCCTTCACTATTAGTTTGGGCTTGTGATTAGTGGTTTTTTAAATAATTTTGTTTAATTTCTGTTGGTTTGATTGGATTGGATTGATTTCTAAAATAATTGCTGAGACCTTCATAATGGTATTCCCTTGCGGAGAGAAATTCTCTTCTGCATTGCTGCATGAAGATTTGCTGTCGGTTCTTCGTTACGGACAGTGTTGGTTTTTAAGTCTTTAAGTTTTTAAGTTTCCTTTCTTGGTCTGGGACTGGTGAGCTCTGTGTGAGACATGCTGCTTGGTCCATCTTTTGATCAGTTACATCCCTCATTCATCCAGCATCACTCAAAACAGTCAAAGCCAAACATGGGAGGGAAGCAAAATGGATATGGTCGCAAGCAGAAGTCCTGTGAATCCCATGCCCTTTACAGAATTTGGCAGCGTTTGATACAAATTCATCTATTTTACTAATTTGCTAATTATTTCTATTTTCTAATTGCTATATGTTTCAGCCTTTAGGGCTTTTTATATCTAGTAAAAAAGCCTGGGTTTTTTATTTATTCTGTCTTTATTAAAATGAAGGCAACAATAATAGAATTGCACCACCCCCCATCCCAAAGAGTTGTGTTCTGTCTCCTTAGAGTTACACTTTCCCAGAAAATAATAAAAAAAGACAATTAGAAACAAGTCCAACAATAACAACAATGAAAAAAAAAGTTGGGAGTGAATGTACTATTAGATTAGCCTCAGTCCATTTTCTTGCCAGTCTTCAAGTACTGTACTGAATGACAAATAGCCTTTTCAAAGAATGCAAATACACGAGTTGAAGCTTTCTTTCACTTTTCAGTCATGCAAATTGTTGCTTCATGTGAATCCAGGAATATAACTAAGAAGAGTTTCTGAGTCAAAGAAACAGAACTATCATGATAGTGTGAAATGTTAAACCTCTTCTAATATGTAGGGTACTCTATATGAAGATGTGTGCATGGTCTGTGAAAGCTTGTGTCAGCTTTCCAAATTCTAAGCCCCACTGGAACAAGCTTTTGCATTTTTTGACCTAACAGTATCAGCATCTTCAAAGCCCTGCTGTGGTGATATCAGGAGCAAACCATGTAGTGGCTTTGTTTGTAGAGGGCAAAAAAAGTATTATACACCCATACCTGTAGTAATGGTTCTTGTTTTTTAACTCCTGTCCCAGCTAGATATGGCAAGTTTATCAAGGTCTTGCTGCACCACAGATGAGCTTGAGTGGTGATTTTAGGGTTCCTCACCCTCACCTGAGCAATATGTTGTCCAGCAGTTGTCCTCTGGAACTAGCTTGTTTTTAAAAATTGCTTCTAGTGTCTTTTTGGCTTTGAAAGTGCAAGTCAGACCCTAATAGCTGCTTTTGGAATAAGAAAGTGAAGAGAAGAAGATGCATTTAAACAAGTTCATATCTCTTAAAAGCAAAGAGTCTCTACCTAAAGGCCTATAGAAACCCTTGCTTTTTATTAAAAAAAAAAAAAAAAA